CCTTTGTTTCACGGTGCAGCAAAGGAGCAGCGGAGGCTCCTCGCGCTCTGCTCAGCAGCCCTGGGCTGGCCAGAGCAGCTGCTCTGCGATGCCCCTCTGCGTTGCAGCCATTGCTCTCTCCTGCAATAAAAGCAACACTTCTGCTGGGTCAGTCCGGGGCTTAATCCCCGCCAACAAGATCAGAGCAACTGCCTGCAGAAAAGACGTTTAAAACTGGAAAGGGAAAGGGATTTTCAGCAGCAGCCAAGGGACTCTTCTGCATGGAAAACCAAGWTCTTTTTCTTTTTTGAGTTTAATAGTACTCAGCAAGAAATGCATGGGCCAAATGGAAGCACATCATCACAGATCCATGAGTTGGAGCTACTCTGATGGTAGGTGTATAAGTCAGCACAGGAGGTTCCTTGAAGAGCAGATAGGACTTCCTGACCCCTCAACTTGCAGCACTTTCACAAAAGTCCCCCTGGTTAGAAGCTGCACTTGCACCTCCATGAGATTTGGGATGATGCGAGAACATCTGTGAACCACAGTCCACCCTGTGAACCATGGTCTGCCCTGAGGTGCCCCAGGAGCTATCCCATAGGATGGCAGGGAGCCAGTGAAGATATCCAGAGTACCAATCTCTGTTTCCACTATTGACCATTGCAGCATGATCTGGGCTTATCTTATAAAGCACTGTAAGATATCATGAAGCTGCTGAGTGTGTTGGTTCTTTATGTGCACGGGAAATCTATAGTTTACATGTATGGGAAACCCATACAATTCACTCCCTCGTGTTCTCCTCTCTCTCTTCCTATGGCAAAGTTTCCATAGTTCTTGACCAAAAAAAAAAAAAAAAAAAAGTATTCTCCTGAAACTTGTCTCCTTCTGCCCTGTTTATTCCTCACTGTCTCCCCCTGCCCTCACTCTGCCTCCCCAGGCTGCCCTTGGGCTGCCTCTTCTCATTGCTCCAGCCAGTCTTGATCACATCATCCTCTCTCATAGGTCATTTGCAAACTGGGCCTTATTCTTCAACACAGTCCTGCATTTAAAACACAAGGAAATATCCCTGCATTTACTTTATCCGTACATGAAAGAGGCAGCAATTTTATCCCTGGTCTCTCTGCACTTTCTAGGTCTAGAAGAAAGTTCTGCATCTCCCATTGCGAAGCTGGACTCTCCTCCTGAAACTRCCCATTTTCACACTGCACGACTGTCTCCTTAAAACTGTCATGCCACCAGGCTGCCCATACTGGGGAGAAAAACATGCCTGGAAGGCTGCTCTACAACACAGCTCTTGCTTGAAACAGCTCTGAGACCTCAAACCCTGGTGAGGTGAGGTGAGGTGTCCATGTGCAGCACGTGGCTGAGGCGACTGAAGGTGTCGGGTAAATGCTGGTTAGGGAGGAGTTGTGCGCATAGGCTGCTAGGGTCCATCTCCATTCGCAGTCACTCTAATCAGCATGAAAATAAAACACATGTCTGGCATAATCCTGAGAGGCAAATAGATAGGATCTTTTAACTTGGCTAGCAAGGAAAATGCAAATACTTTCCTGTGTACACAAAATATCAATGAGATACAAATGAGTTGAGAAACACAGATTGTGACACTGAAGACTGGGGTTGGGAGTGTCCACAGGAGATGGTGGTTTGCAGTCTGGGCTCAGGCTGCAGACAATATGAATGCCATGGAGAAATACCTGTGATTCCCCAAAAAAAAAAAAAAAAAAAAAAAAAAGAGTCCATAAATACAAGTCTCCTCAGCTCCTGAGTGTGTTAACAGTGAAGCATGCAGAAGCTGCTGAGAGCAGGAACCAGGGGCATTGGCCAGCAGTGTTTCACTCCTGCAGTGCTGCAAGTGTCCAGGAGGCTCCATCGGAAAAGTTAGCCACTGCTCTGTGTAGACAGGGAGGGAGTTGCATAGCAGGAAGCTATGAAGTTTCATAGCATCTTTCCCAGCAGCTGGGAAGATCCCCTAGAGCTTGGGAAAGGGGTGCACTTGGGGCTCAGTGGCTGTTTTGGGGGTCTTTCGCCTAGAGCACTGCTTTGTGTGGCAGCTAGGAGATATCACCTATTGAAACACTCAGCCACCCTTGCTGAGGTGTCCGTGCCCAGCAGTGCCCGCTGCCCTGCTGGTGCCACCACTGTCGGACACAGCCAGGAGAGGCCGGGGTGAGCAGGAGAGCTGGGGCGCCGCTGCACCCYGAGGGTCGGGGGCAGCCCCATGGCAGTGAGGGGCCCGGCCACCGTCACACAAACATTATGGTCTCCCAGCAGCTGTGGGCCAAGATYGGACGAGGAGGGTTTTGAAAGCAAGACAAAGAGCTCGCCTCCCATGGTGATGCCCTGCGGAGCCGCCGCAGATAGGAGGCTTGGGTACTTTGTTTCCTGAATTAGCAGGAATTCGTGAGGCTTGAAGCCATTATGTTTTGGCCCAGTTTGTGGGATTTTTTTTTTTCAGGTTTATCTCAACAATTCCTTTTGCCTTTGAATTTTTGATAGTGTCTTCCCAAACACAACTCCTCCTGAGGGGCAGGAAGGTATTACGGAGTTAATAAAYGTCCGCTACTGATCCCATTTCTCCGGTACTGAAAACCTCCCTGAGGCGGGTGTATCGGGTCGTGAAAACGTTCCTTAAAAGTAGTCCCGGAAATGTTATTTTAAAGTTACAATTCAAGTATATAATAAGAACAAAAATACTTGTACACAGTACACCTCAAAACACTTCCATATCGGGGATATGATATAGATATATCCAGACACATATATCTAGRCATACATAGATATAGATGTCACGGGGACCCTGCCCTGTGGAAGAAGAAGGGGTGCCACACAGGCGCCATTTCCGCCGGCGAAGGGCAGGCGCGCGGTGCCAGGCTGCGGCGCAGGCCGCCCTCTCTGTCGCGCCGGCCGCGCTGCCCCACGTCACGCGCGGCGCCACCGCCGCCTCGCGCCCTCGCCGCTCACCCGCTCCTGCTTGTCAGCTTTCGGCGGGGAAAAAAAGACAAAGGAGGAATGCTTTCATTCTCCAAGGCCTGCATCCAGTTTGGGTTTTCCTGTACCACGGGGAAAATGATAAGCTGGGATACAACAATGACCTACTTCGCGTCTTGATAAAATAATTTCCCCTCTCTGTCATTTTTCTCAAAGAATAATATTTGACTAGCACGAGCACGAGAGAGAGCGAGGGCTTTTCTGCGAGCTCACTGATAAGGGGCCAAATTCAGCGCTGAGCCAGATGACTGCTACACTGTTGACCTCCGTGCGGTTAAGCCTGCTTATCCCGGAGCTCAGCGCTTGGAAAACAACAGGGTTAAAACCTCTAAGAGGTGCCTGTGTCATATGGGGCGTCGTGGCCAAAAGCTCGGAGGGCAACAGCTATCCGTCAGGCATCCGTCAGTGAATGTGACCTGAGACACAGCCAGGGAGCTGCTCACATCCGTGTGCCCTCAGCTGGGTCACACACCAGCCTGGCACTGCAGAGCACAGTAYATCAGCCCGCTTTCAGCTGGCACAGTGGGCAAAAAGGTTGGAAATCCATCCGCTGCGTGGCTTCAACACACCATAACTTGCTGCCCAAGATGAACAAGACGGTGGCATTTGCCCTATGTTGGCTTGCAGCATCAGCTCACATGCCATTTCACAGCACAATCAAGGCAGACTATTTATGAGATGTTGTCAAGATTAAAATCCATTTACTAATAAAGCAATCCATACCCTTATCATTAAAGTTTAATTATAGTTCTTTTTCTTCTATTTGTTTCCTGGCATAAATGCAGTGTCAGTCTACTCTGTCCTATTGAATTTTCACTGTTTCTTGTTCATGGAGGTGGAAAGTTCCTCTGAGTTTCCAGCAATGGAGACCTATAGACTGSTGGGCATTGCAGGTGGCAAGAGCATCTACACACCAGCATGGAGGCTCCTCTTGAGAACTCTGCACAAGGAAACTTTCAATCCAAACTCATGTGTGTAAGAGAGAACTTTCTTGAGCACTGCTCAGAGACTGAGAAATAAACCCTCACAAGGAGTTACTACAAATCTCTCTCTCTTTTTTTTTTTTTTTAAGCCTGCCTTGTCTAGTGCGTGGCTTGTCTAGTGCAGGGATGCAGCTCTATGCAGATTTGCAACAGTGCAAAACAAAAAATGGCCAAAGAGAGACTATTTGTTTTTAATTGAGAACAAGTTTCTACCATTCACCCAATTCCTCTTTGCCTGGGTGAATTAAGACGATCTATAACAACTTTCAGTCTTGAGGTAGCTACTCTGATCGGCGCTACCCACATGGAGCTGCTCTTAGGCCAAGCTGTGCAGTTCACTGTCAGAACAGCTTTGGTGTCTGGGCAGTCACYACACCACAGGTCTCTGACCCTCCCAGACCTACAGCAGAGCCCCTCCAGGCTTCTCATCCACCCAACGAAGCATCTGCTGGGCTTTAGGAGCCTCATACCGACCCAAGCAAAGCCTGAGATGTTGCAGCTGAGAGGCTGCCCATTGCRGATCACCCGGGATTGCGGAGCAGATCCTGGGACTAGCACGGCAGCAGGCTGCCATGGAGGTGACCACTGGAAGGAATAATCCGTATGAGCTTGAGAGCAGCACAGCTGCATTCGTATGCCGAGGAGTGAGCTGTGCCAGTACTGTTGAAGCAGCTCAGCGGTTGCGCATAGACAGGCTATAATTAAACACAATTAAAACAGAATGCTTTTGTTCTAACCCAGGCATCCCCGTGAGGACCTGCACCAAAATACCAGCGGGTATGAATCAAGCCATTTCTGATTTTCTGGTACATGTCTGAGCATTGGCTGGCTCCAACGCCAACCCTACCGGCTCCAGATCCTGGCAAAGCGCAGCCACCCAGGCAACCTTCCCTCTCAGGCTTCATCACGGGAGGACCAACACACGAGAGCACATGATGGGGAATCACTTCTTGGTGGGGAATCACTTCTTGGTGGCTTGTAGGGCCTCTAGAGGCAGAAGGGTGACAGCCTCCTTGCAAGGCTGGCCTTTCCAGCTCCTTCACAGCAATGGTGGGTCTGGCACAACAGGCAGCAGATGCCGTGCCTGTTGCAGGACGGACCCTGCTGCATAACGTGGATTTCCAGCTAGGTGTGGGAAACGGAGCACCTCACATTGGATCGTGCTGGGAACTGAATGGTGCTGGAAAAGGTAAGCTGAAACTGGGATCTGCCGCAGAGTTACTCTCTCTGACGTGGGCATGCTGCTCAAGCTGCCCAGGCTTTCTGCCTGCGAACAGGGCAGTGGCACCTACAGCCCGCGGCTCTCCGGGAGCCGGGCCGGGCCGGGCCGAGCCGAGCCGAGCCG